CCGGCTCTGCGGGCTGGCCCCTGGCCTGCCCACGCGGGAGTGCGCTGCCACGCTCGACGCGACCGACGTCGTTGGCGCCGAGGTCGGCGCCTGGCTGCGCCGCCCCGAGCTGGCGCTCCTCGACCAGTCCGACTGGCCCGACCCGTCGCCGCGGGCCCGCGTGAACGTGGAGACGGAGGCGGACGGGGAGGAGATGGTGCTGCACCTCGGGTCGCTCAGCATCTTCACGACGCTCGCGGAGAGCGAGCTGGTCCGCGCGAGGGGCGAGCCCGTGCTGATCGGCCTGCTCGCGGTGGAGAAGGAAGGCACCCCAGCGCCTGGCGCCACGCGGGTCACCAGGCTCATCCCCGACATGGTGCCAGGCAACTCGCTCCTGAAGGCCCGCGTGGGCGAGGCGGCGCTGCTCGCGGCCTCGGCGCCCTGGACGGCGGTCGTGATCCCCGACGGGAAGCTGCTGCTGTGGTCGGGCGACGACCAGGAGGGGGCCTTCTTCGCGTGGCGGGTCTCGCCCGCGTGGCACCCCTACATGGCCGTGGGGCGGCCGCTCGCGGGCGAGCTGTTTTGCCGCTCGGAGCCCGTCGTCTACGTGACCTCGGCTTTCATCGCCAGGGGCTGGTCGCTTGCGGTGCCCGTCTTCCAGCACATTCACCGACGGCTGCGCCGCCTGGCGCCGCCCCTCGGGGCGGGGCTTCCCCTAGGCGGGGAGTGGCGCAGGGATTGCGCGCGGGCCCTGGTCGAGGCTGGCAGCGGCCAAGACGCTGGCTGGTGGCAGGGCTACATCGACGACTTCGAGGAGGTTTTGGCCTGCAAGCTCGTAGGGGTCCCGAGCGACATCCAGCTGCAGGTCCGCGCCAGCTACGAGAGGGCGAGCGCCTCCTTCTCGGCCGAGAAGGCGCACTGCAGGCAGCTGAGGGTCAAGCGCATGGGCGCGGACGTCGACGGCGTCGGCGGGCGCCTCGCGGCCCCCGCCTCCAAGGCGCTGGCCGCTGCGGGCCTCTGCTTGGCCGCGGTGCAGCGGCGCCTGGTCCCGTGGCGCGTTGCCGTGGCGGCCCTCGGCAAGCTCGCGAGGGTCTTCGAGTTCAGGCGGCCGCTCTTCGGGGTCCTGAACTCCGTCTGGGCGCTGGATGCGTCCTCAGCGCAGGAGGCTTACCTGGACGCGGAGATGGCGGAGGATCTCCTCATGGGCGCGATGGTCCCGCCGCTGGCCGCCTCCTCGCTGCGGGCGCGCATCGACGGCATGGTCACGTCCTCGGACGCGTTGGAGATGGGCGGCGGCGCGTGCACGTCGGCCGGCCTGCGCGAGGATGTCGCCGCCGCCTTGCAGGTGCCGAGGACGGTCCCCGACCAGCTGGGGATGGGGGCCAGGCTCCTCGACATGGCCGAGGATCCCGCCCGACCGTGGGCGGCAGCCAACCCACGCGTCCCCGCCAGGGCAGTCCGCAGGGCGTCGTCGGTGCTGCTCATCGGCCTGTTCGACGGCATCGGAGGCCTCGCCGTCGCCTTCTCGAGGCTGCCCTTCCGCATCGCGGCCGAGACGGACGCCAAGGCGAGGCGCGTTGTCAGGCTCCGCTGGCCGAGTGTCATCGGCTGGGGCGACGTCACCCGCGTGGGCAGCGAGACGGTGCGGGACCTGTTCAGGGGGTTCGGCGGCCTCGTCGACCTCGTGGCGGTCGCTGCGGGCAGCCCCTGCCATCACCTGTCACGCCTCAACGTCGGCGGGCGCGGCCTCAGCGGTAAGGAGTCCTCGCTGTTCCACGAGGTGCCGCGTGCCCTGGCTCTCCTCGCCGCCGTCTTCAGGAACAAGCTCGTGTGGTTCGTGGAGAACATGGCCAGCATGTCCAACGTTAACGTGGAGCTGATCTCGGAGGCGCTGCAGGTGAGACCGACGCTGGGGTGCTCGTCGGTGTTCGTGCCGTGCCGCAGGCCGCGCCTGTTCTGGACGAGCTGGGGCGTCACCGCATCGGCGCCTCTTCGGCTGACCGATCGCGGGGTCTACGACAAGCTGGTGGGCCCTGGCGTCCCGCTTTTGGACCTCGCGTGGGAGGACGAGGGCGGCTCTTGGCCAGGGAGACCGAGGTACACCTCCCTAGCCACCAAGAGCTCGAACCCTCAGGACGCCCTCGACGCCAGGGCCTTCCTCCTCGGCAACAGCTTCAGTATTCACGTTGTGGCATGGTTGTGCCAGCAGCTCCTGCACCGCCGCGGCGCGCTGGGCAGGGAGCTGTCGATTGAAGAGGTGTCCCCCGTCCGCGAGTGCCAGGCGACGTGGGGCCAGGCGGGGGCCTTCGTCACGGAGCTAGGGGAGCTGGACACCGCGGAGGCGAAGCAGCTGGTCCTGCACTACCTCAGCCGCACGGAGAAGGGCGGGTCGGACGTCAGGCTGGACTACGGCGTCCCCTACCGCCCGCGAGGTTGGCCGAGGACGAGCCTGGGCCCGTTCGCGTGGAAGTGGCGCGTGGTGGTCAGGTGGCGCGCCTGCAAGGTCGCGCAGCACGGGAGCAGGTTCTTGCACCTCGTCGACAGCCAGGTGGTCGCGGCCATCGTGACGAGGGGCCGCAGCAGCAGCAGGAAGCTCCAGCCCATCCTGATGCGCCGGATGGCCGTCGTCGTGGCGGCCGACATGTACCCGCTGATCGGCTACGTGGTCTCGGAGGACAACGCCGCGTGGCTCGGGGCCCAGGGGGCGAGGGCGACCCGTGCCGCGCGCGCGGCCGCTCACCGCAGGCCCGTGCCCGTGAGGCGTCGCGGGACGCGCTGCCAGACTCTCTCTTCCCTGACAGGGGCGGCGGAGACGCGGCGGCGCTACGGGCGGGCTCCGCGGGCCCTGCTGGCCCACTTCGGAGCTGAGCAGGCGGGGGCGGACGCTTTGCGCGGCGACCCCGAGGACACCGACGTCCCCGTCGCGGAGTACCTCGAGGACCTGTGGGCCTCTGGTGCGGGCAGCGCGGCCGCCAGCAACACGCTGGCAGAGGTGTGCCTCGCAACGCCTCGTCTGAGGCGACACCCTGGCCTGAGCGGGACTCTCCTCAAGGCATCGAGGCAGCATGGGCCAGCGCCCAGGGTGCTGCTGCTCACGACCCAGGCCGTCGCGGCCATGGCGGGGATCGCTTGCGCTGCAGGCGCTTTCGACGCGGCCGCCCTGATGGTGGGCGACATCGTCGACCGCGGCATCGTCGACGAGCTGTTCGTGGTCCGCGTCAGCTCGTCCAAGACCACGGCTGGCAAGGACTGCGCGGAGGCAGTCGTCGTCCGCGGCAGGATGGCCGTGGTGCTCCTGTGGATTGCGGGCCGCAACCTTGGTGCAGGTGCGCGGCTGTCCGCCGCGCGCCTGTGCATCGAGGGCGCGGTGGCCAGCTCAGTGCCCGCCAGCCCGGGAGCAGGGCAGCCCGCGCCGTTGCGCGAGGACTGCGGCTCCTGCAGTTGGCCACTGTAAAAGGCCACCGCCTGCGCCCAACAGTGCTTGCCAAAAGTCGGGCGTTTGTCTTCGCTGCGGCGAAGGCAACCGCCCTCCCGCCGTGGGGCCGCCTGGCTCCCTCTCTCTCTCTCTCTCTCTCTCTCTCTCTCTCTCTCTCTCTCGCTGGTCCTGGTTTCCTGGGGCCCTGGGCCCGCCCGTTGTGTGGGGCGTTCTCTGTTTGGGGTCCACGCCCGTCTCACCTCCTTCGCGCTTCGTGTCACCTCCTCCCGTCGCCTCCCCCCGTCGCCTCCTCCTCGAACGTGCCAACCCTTTCGGGGCCCAGCGGCCGTGAGAAGGGACCCAGGGAGGGGATAACGCTCTGCGCGGCCTGCCCGGGCGTTGCCGCGCCGCTCTGGCGGCTGCAGAGTGTTGTCCCCCTTCTGGGTACCGTCCTCACGGTCCTTGGACCCCAGAAAAGGCTGCCGTGCCGTGTGGAGGGCAAGGGCTGGAGAAGGGCGTGGAGTGGGGGAGTGTGCTGGGGGGCCAAACCAAGGGGCTGCTGGCGGGGGGTCTGGCACGTCTAGGGCCGCCCTGTGCGGTGCCTGCCCCGCGTCAGGCCTGTGGCCTGGCGCGGGTGGCGTGTCCAGACCTCCCAGGCAGTCCTGTGGTTTGCCCCCCCGCACACCCCCGAGTAAGGACCGGCATAAATATGCCATTTTCAGGGGGGGTGGGAGTTAAACACGGACGGCCTACGTAGCCTAAGGCCAGTAGGTGGGGGTGTTAGATAGCGTAGGCCCCCTCCCCAGATTGCTGTATGCGAACGGTGGAGCACCACCTCGCACGCCTTAGGTGGCAAGCGCGCGGTGCGGTAGGCGCCGCGTGCTTGCCGCCTAGGAGATGCGTGGCGTAGGGTACCCTTGCATCCCGATGCGTACAGTAGCTGGGGGGTTTGAGGGGGGTCTAGCCTACTCTGACCATTGGCGTGTCCGCACGCAAAAAGGTGGGGCAGGGTATGTCCGTATACTGGTTCCCTGTATGCGTATACCCGTCTTCCCCCCTTTGGCCAGGACACGCCGCCCCAACACGTCCGTAGCCTGTTTGGGCTCCCACCCGCGGTCCACCCCTTCCGTGTTGAGGCACGCTTTCTGCTGGTGCCGTAGCCCAGAAGATAGCGTAGGCCCCCTCCCCAGATTGCTGTATGCGAACGGTGGAGCACCACCTCGCACGCCTTAGGTGGCAAGCGCGCGGTGCGGTAGGCGCCGCGTGCTTGCCGCCTAGGAGATGCGTGGCGTAGGGTACCCTTGCATCCCGATGCGTACAGTAGCTGGGGGGTTTGAGGGGGGTCTAGCCTACTCTGACCATTGGCGTGTCCGCACGCAAAAAGGTGGGGCAGGGTATATATATATATATATATATATATATATATAAATGTAACTATGCACATGTGGTAATACGTCGATGCGTTTGCTTGACATGTGGCTAAATGTGGTGTTTGCTTGTTCTCTCTCTCTCTCTCTCTCACTCTGTTTTCTCACTGTTTTTGTTTCTGTGTATCGTTCTGATGCACACATATATGTATGTGTATCCAGCTGCTCTCTGCCCAGAGGTCGAGGTGAAGGCTGTGCCGAAGCCGAGGCGCAGATTCTCATCTTCTTCGTCGCCGTCATCCTGCCGATCCCCATCCCTAATACTCGCTTCCTCGTCATTCTCTCCTTCGCGCTCCTTGACATGTGTCTCATCCTGATCCTCCGGATGCCTTCTTCGGGTTGACCCAAAACGGGATCCAGCGACAAGGGGGTGGTGCAATAGATTTGTGGGGTTGCAATACATTTGGGACGTGCAATACATTCCGGGGCGCAAATGTATTGCTGAATTTTCGCGTGCAATGCATTACTTGCAATACAATGCAATACAATTATCCGGCGCAGTACACTGGCAATACAATTGCCCCAAATCTATTGCACCACCCCTTTCAGTTGGACCCCCTTTTGGGTCACCCAAACTTCTTAATTCGTTTCTCGGGGAATGGATCTGCAGAGGGAGGAAGCAGCTCGGGCATGGGGGTACAGTCATGACTTGTGCTGACCCACATGACTTGTGCTTATGACGATGTGTTCGGCTCGTGCGCTCCACGGCATGCACCGGAGCTCATAACCGGGTCCCAGTGTTGCTAATGGGGTCATGGTGTGGCTCGCCCGTGGGGCTACTGCGGTCCGTTGCACGCGCATCAGGTTTTCGAGGCGTCGCGTTCTTGGGGTCGTCATTTCGACGGTCCCTTTCCTCGAGTAGGGGATCGAGTACGGAATTGATTTACCCCAGACTTGTTCTTTCGTCGGATCGACAGGAAAGACGTAGCAGTTTTCATGGATTCGACTATAAAACAAATCTGGGGGTAAGTCAATTCTGTAGTCGATCCTCGACTTGATTTCCGTATCATCATCTTTACCCTTGCGTTGCCCCCTTCTCCACCTCATTATGGCTTCTGGCATCCTCCCTCGCCCTCTTCCTGTCTGCGGGGGGGGGGGAAGGCGAGGCGAAACAGGAGGGATGGTCGAGAAAGTCAGTCTTGTATGTTTGTTGGGTCTTGCTTCGGAAAGCCTGTCGATGCCTCTGCGGAGACCTCGGGGGCCTCCGCAGGTAGGAAGAGTTAGGAGCAGGACGAGGAGGAATGGTGGCACTTAGAGGAAGTGGGAGGACGCAGGAGGTTGAAGGGAGGAACGGGCGTTCCGCTTCTGAGACCAAGGACGTTTGGGGGAGAAGGGAGCGGGATGATGAGAGGAAGAGTGTCGAAGGTAAACAGGAAGATGAGGAGGAGGAGGAGGAGGAGGAGGAGGAGGAGGAGGGAGGTGGAGGGAGGTGGAGGGTGAAGGGAGGAGAGTGCGCGCCTTCGAGGGGTGATTAGAAGAGTTGACGTCTCGCCCTCGGCGGAACCCAACAGAGGGCACGCGGAAACCGGCGGGGGTGACAGACGAGGGTAGATTTGCCAGCCGATTGTTGTAGTTTGTTCGTTGAGAGACGGGGAAGCGTTCGAACGATCTTCGGGGAAAGGCGGAGCACCAACACAGTCCCCTTTCACATGCGGGAGGTTCGTGCCGCTTCGGCGCGATGGCGTCGTGCTTTGCGACCTCCTCCCCCCCTCCTCCTTCCTCCCCGGTCCTCGCTCCCTCCTCCTCCTCCTCCTCCTCCTCCTCCTCCTCCTCCTCTCCTCCCCTCCTCCTCCTCCCCCTCCCCCCTTGTCCTACTCGCTCCCTTGTCCCTCCCCCGGTCCTCGCTCCCTCCTCCTCCTCCCTCCTCCTCCCTCCTCCCCCTCCTCCTCCTCCTCCTCCTCCTCCTCCCCCCCTCCTCCTCCTCCTCCTCCCCCTCCTCCTCCTCCTCCTCCTCCCCCTCCCCCTCCCTCCCTTGTCCTGCTCGCTCCCTCTTCCCTCCCCCGGTCTCGCTCCCTCTCGCTCCCTCCCTGCCCTCCTCCTCCGGGGGCAGGTGCAATACCCGACTCCTCCTTTGAAGGAGGAGGAGGAGGAGGAGAGGAGGAGGAGGAGGGGGAGGAGGGGGGAGGGGGGAGGAGGAGGAGGAGGAGGAGGAGGAGGAGAGGAGGAGGAGGAGGAGGAGGAGGAGGAGGAGGAGGAGGAGGAAGAGGAGGAACGAGGACGAGGCGAACATTTCACAGGTCGTTCCCGGGACCTACTGATCCTCACGAGGCAATCACGAGGTGAGTGAACCTGCCGGCGGGCTCCTCCTCCTTCGGGCAGGTTTATTTGCATGGACGGGGGGGGGGGCTGAGTCTGAAGCAAGCCGAAAACGATTCGACGTGCGGAGATCACGCAAGTCGAAAGGCACTTGCACGCTCGTGTTCGATTGAAGAGGGGCGAGGGGGGAGAGGGGGGGGGCGAACGCCATGCAAGTAAGCTTGCCTGGATCTAAAGAAAAAAACAGGCTCCTACTGATCCTCACAGTTTGTTGCACGTTACGGAAGTTGCTGAGTTGCTGAAGCTGCAATGTCCAAGGAGGAAATATACACCCACGTTCAGCTATGTAGGTCCCTGCATGTTTTCTCTGTAGAGAATGGCGATGGTGCCCGACATCATGTCCACAAAGCGAGACGTGGTTGGTACGGGTGCAGAGTAGGCTTCCGTGCGCATGTGCAGGTCGGTGGCGATAGTGGAGAGCAGGAGTAGGCGACTTGTCGTCTGATCAGATACCGTGGGATGCACAAGCAGGGGAGGAAGAGGTGGAAGAATAGACAAGGGCTCGTGGAGAGGGGGGAAAACTAGGAAGAAGAGTATACTGGAGGAGGAGGAGGAGAACCCGGAGGAGGGGTAGGTGGAAGGGGGGGCGCAGGAGGGAGATGATGAGGAGAAGGAGGAGGAGGAAGGAAGGCAGGGGGGCATGGAGTGTGAGCAGGAGGAGGAGAGGGAGGAGCAGGGCGACGATGACGACATCGACGACGTTTCCAGAGCGGTGCATTCCCCAGGGACGTGAAATGTCGCTGTGCGGCGATGGTATCTCCGTGCGCAAGGTGGCTCGGCGGCAGGGGCGATCCAGGGAGACCCGACGCCTCTGGCAAGGCTCGCCGACGTCGGGTCACAAGGATCGCCGAGGGTCGCCACCGCACTGCGCCTTCTTGTAATTTCCCCAGCCTTGCTGAAGGGCTGTTCGGCCGCCGAGCATTGTAGCCACGTTAATCGGAGATTGATAGACCTCCTACCTTGACACGTCGATTCGCGAATTGACCGTTTTCGGTTCGCGAGAGGGCGTCGCGGTCGTCAGTTTTGCAGGTCCAGGTCCGACGGGTTTGGTCCTGGGCCGTTTTCAACTAAAGGGTGGTTTACTGAAGGGAGGTTTGTCCACTGCCGAGTTGAACAAGTGAACAGCGAGAAGGGCGAGGCAAACAGGGAGGAGGCAAATTTATTGAATAGTAAGAAGACGAAGCGGTCAGCAGGACTGGGAGGAGACGGAGGAAGGTGCGGAAAAGAGGAGAGAGGGCGTGGATGAGGAGGTGCGCGGTCCAGCCTGACAGGCCGCAGCCGGCCAAGCCAGCGGCAGTGGCGGCCAACAAGCAGGCAGGGCGTGGGCCAAGGGGGCCGAGGAGGAGGAGGCAGGAGGGAGGAGGATGAGGCGGAAGGAGAGGGGGAGGAGGAGTTACAGAGAGGAGGTGGGGGGGCAGTTCTTCGGGTGACCTGCCAGCGCTGCGGAGCCAGGCAGTAGATGGGCGGTGCTGCGTGCCCGCAGTGCGCGCGCAATTTCCAGGGCGTTGGGGCGTGATCCCTCCCTCCCTTCCTTCCCTCCCGGACTCCCTTGCTCCTCCCCGCCTTCCGGCGGGGCTAGGACGATGATAGATTCGTTCCGGAGTTGTCTGGAACGCTCCCAGAGCGTTCTGGAAGGCTCAGAAGACCGCGGCGCTCGATACATCCTCCCAAACCGCCAGATCCCAGAGATTCTCGAATCGTCCCTACCCTATTTTCCTGTCCTGGCTTCATTTTATCCCTTCCTCCTCCCTGTCTCCTTTACTTCCTCCTTGCCGTCCCAGAGGCGGCTGGGTCTGCGCCCACCTTCCCCCCCGCTTTTGGCAGGCAGCGCCGGCGCAGGGGCTGCCTGCGAGCAGCCGATGGGTCAGGGGAGCGCCGGTGGCGTTCGACGGCGCTGGCCGCGAGATGTGCGGCGACTTCCAGAGGCCTGGTCGAGAGGGCCGAAATGGGGACGGAAAGAACGGGGACGATGGCTGCCACTCAAGCAGTGGCGGAGCGTCCTGGCTCGCGTAGAGGCCAACCCAGGAATGTTCTGAGAACCTTCTGTTGTAGGCACGAAAAGTTCTCAGAACATGTCTGACTGAGACTGTCTTTTTTAGTACATATGGCTTCTGCTACTAGAACATCGCTTCTGTTTTCGGTTCCAAGTACATGTCGTGGTAGGCGTGTAGGAATGCCGGGACGGTCGGCCCTGCTCAAGACACCAGTCTGTGCTCAATTTGGACAGGGCTCGCGGTCGACGTCGCCGCGAACAGCAGTCGTTGTCAGTCTGGTCGTGGACGTCGTTTGCCGAACAGCAGTCGTTGCCAGTGTCCAGCAATCTTTGCTGTTTCGAAAAGACACCGTAACCATAAACTTTTGGCGCCCCGCGCGGATTTCTTGGATCCGCGCTGGGCCCCTCTGGCGCCCCTGGCGCGCTTCGCGCGCCAGGGAGGGGGGCCCAGCGCAGATCCAAGAGATCCGCGCTGAGCGCCAAAAGTCTATGTTTGTGGCGCTTGTTTTTGTTCTTCCGCTGTTGGACATCGTCCCCATCAGTGCTGTCCCGATTTCGCGCGAGCAGGTCGGGGGGCGCCGGCTGCCCGAACCTCTGGGCGTCGCGAACGAAGAGCACAGTCGGCTCTGTGTTTTTGCGAGCTCGGCGTTCGGGAGCCGCTTGGGCACGGCTGGGATCCAAGGTTAACCCGTTGGGGTGCGAAGAGGATCGGGTATCGCCGTCTGGACTGCCCTTCCTCAGGTCAGGGTGGCCGCGAGCGAGCGCGAAGGGATTCGGGTTTCGCGTAGCGTGATGCGCAAAGTTGGGTAAACTGCAGCGTGGACGTGCAGCAATCATCCGCTTCGAACTCGCAAGGCTGTCCTGGGTTTCTCGGGTTCGCACGGGTTCGCAATGGGAACCCTCAGGTCCCCCAGCCTCGAGTCGGTCGAAGTCTCCCGTGCAGATTCGTTGTGTCCAAGGTCCTCGTGCTGGCGCCCTCCTTCACCGAGCGCGCTCCACTACTCGCAAAGTGCCTACTCGCAGACGTCCGAGAAACACATGCTCGCCTCGATGTAACGGATCGTGCATCCCCCGAGGCGGCTCCAGGCCATTTGCGAGCATTTATTGTGTGAGTAGTGGAACTCGCACGTCTGCTCCTGAGGCGCGAGGGGTGTCCCGTGCGCAATCAGCATCCGCCATGCATCTGTCCCACTACCCATCCCATGGCCTGAAGCAGCAGGCTTTCCGAGCCGCGCCCAGCCATGGCGACGTGAACCAAAATATGAATCCCTCGGAGGACGGAGACGAGCTGGGGGACGACTAGAGGACGAGGAAAAGGAATGGAAGGGGGGGGAGGAGGCATGGAGGGAGGGAGGAGAGGAGCAGAGTTACACACCTCCTCGTCCTTCCAAAACAAATCCACGAACGCCCAGGAACGCGTCCGAAACGACAGCGACACCGCGCGCGCGGGCAGCCGCCGTCCCCCGACGAGGGGCGACTTAGGAGAGGAAGCAATGACATAAACATAAAAACTCGGAAGTCCGCGCGGATCCCTCGGATCGGCATTGGATCCCTCCGGCGGCGCCTCCGGCGCCGCCTCCGGCGCGCCAAGGAGGGGGCCCCGGCGCCGATCCGAGAAATCCGCGCGGTTTCCGCGTTTTTATGTTCATGCCATTCAGTCGGCCCAGATTAGTAGGTCGACCCTGCCAAATCAAGGGTACCCTTGTGTGCCGTGTCTCGCGTCCCATGCTTCCTGCATTCCTGTGGCAACGTGGCCCTCGGAAGGGTCTTGTGTCCTCTCGCGTGTCCTGTCCAATCGCGTCCGACTGTTCTTCGTTCCCCTGGTCTCCCGACGAGGGGCGACTGCCAGCGGGGAGCCCGTTGCAGGTTCTCCCATGGGGGCGCGAGCTCCGCGTGGGGGGGAGCGGCCGCGCCAGCAGACGAGGCCGCTGAGCCGGCAGAGGCGGCGCCCCTCGCCCCCGCTCCCCGAGGGAGGAGGAGGAGGAGGAGGAGCACGAGGAGCACGAGGAGCAGGAGGAGCAGGAGGAGCAGGAGGAGGAGTACCAGGAGGAGTACCAGTGTAAACCCGAGACCTATGAAGGATGTTGCCGTGGACGAATGCGCACGGCGCTGAGGCGAGAGTCGCAGCTTGAAAGCGGCCCGCCCTCCATCCGTGAAGCTGTTGCAAATCTTAAGCTTCAGGATCATCAATGGTGAGGGTGGACATCTCAGGAGAAACGCCCAGCCCGCCCTTTCGACCGGCCTCGGGGTGCGACAGGGAGGAGTTATTCATAAGGGAATGGAGGGAGAGTGCAGGGGGACTATGATACTCCGCCCCCCTGGGGGGGTGTCGGTTCGCTCCACAGGGCTCCACTCGGAGGAGGGCTTTTTGAGACACCAGCAGTGGGCCTTCGGGGGGGCCTTCGTCGCCACGGCTGGACGCAGCTCGGAAAACGGCTGCGTCTGGATCCCAGGAAGGGTCTGGTGACCGATCTTGAGCCCAACGGGCGATCTGGGAGTGACCCGTCCCCCTCCGCATTGCCAATGGCTTCTCGGTTGAGATCGGAGCGTTCCGGTGTCTCTGAAAGGGGTTGCCGCTGCAGCACTGACCTCATCTTAGGGGTTGGGTTTGGCTCCCATCGTTCAGAATGGCGCACTCGCCCAAGCGATGGCCGCTTTTGTGGATGCGAGTGTTTCCTCATCGTTGTCGCCTCATTCCTTCTCCCTTCCCCGCCTTCCCCTGGTCATCCTGCTACTCCCGTTTCTCCCAATTCTCCTCATGCCTCATCATTAGCATCCTCTTCCTCGTACTGCGCCTTCTGCTCATCCGCCACGTCCTCGTCCAATGCGCGCAGCTCCCCTAGTGCGATTGCGCATGACTCGATGTGGTCCTGTTCTGAGGGGGGCGCAAGTCCGCTATAATACCAGTTGGCCATTATAGAAAAGAAGCAGTGCTTCCTCCCCTCCCTCCCCTTGGCAGCGCTCAGACGTTCTTTTGTCTTGGCGAGGACCATCGAGGAGCATCTTGGACAACAATCTGGCGAATTCTGAACGCACGCAACCGACAAATGCACGTGGGCTGGACGTCCGAGCGATGGCAAGTCCCCCATCTGCCCTCGCCTCGCTCTTGCTGCATCGTCCCCTCAGCACGCCCACAGGCGGCGTGGACGCCGCGGGCAGCTCGCTTATTCAACATCCCGCCCAGCCAGCCATCACAAGGCTGGGGAGTAGACACATGATGAGTAGGAGGTGGAGGATTAGCAGGGAGAATGAGGGGAGTGGGGGAGGGGAGAGAGGGAAGCGTGAAGAGGAGCGATGAGGAGACACGGACCTCTTCTCCCATCCTCCTCCCCATCCCCGTTCCCCAGCGTTTCCCCCACCCGACCTGGTCTCATGTTCTCCCGACCCCAAGGCCCAGTGATGACGGCTTTATCGATTGCCATATGTTTCCATCTCTTGCACCCCCCCTTGCGTTCTTGCTCTTCCTTCTGATCTCCCTCCCAGGCCTTTCGAGACAGCATTCGAGGACCCCCAACAAGCACTAGCAAACCCGAGTGCGCACTGAAGGTAGCGCCGACGCAACACCAACAGCCTCCCAAGATAACCCAGGACCCTGCAGCATGAATGCTGGATCCCAGGGCCCCTGGGCCTCGGAAGCGCCGAATGATTCCGAGATAGCCAAAGCTACAAAACAGCTCAACTGGGCTCCCACACGGCCCGACCCCCCCCGCAAGTGTCGTCAGATATCCTTAAGACGGCCGCAGAAGCCACTTCGACAATGCAAACGGGGCCCGACATGACTCCGCAAGCAGGCTCCAGAGGCACAAAGCATTGGCTTCATTGCAGTGCCTGAAAGATGCTCGAAGCTTCGGAGTAAGAGTTCATGCTTCTCAACCACAACTCGCACCTTGACACCACGCTCTGATGATGGGTGGCAGAGTTTTCCCAGCCAGCGAAGTTTTCAGAGCACCCAATCGAGAAGGGAACCGGCTACTTGCAAGCACTTGCGAAACCACATGGCGGAGGACAGCGGCGATGGAGAGGAGATGCAGCCCGGCCGAACAGCGTGACAGCCGGGCAGACAGCCGAGGTCGAGCACAGCGAGCGGCAGGCACAGGAAGGGATTGTGAGGAATCACATCATGTTCTATCGCGGTGAGAGTCGTCTGATCATCTAGCTAGAATTTGAGCGCGCGCGAAGCACGCACGTGCACCCTCTTTCCACATTTAGATACGCACGTATATGTCTGTGCTTACTTATGTATTTTTATGTAAGTATGTATGTATACACGTATGTCTATATGTAAAGGAATGGGACGTATTGTAATATAGTGTATCATAATGTAAGGTGGCATAATTTGTGTATGTATGCATGCATGCATGCATGCATGCATTTTTGTTTGCAACTGTGCATATCTATATATATGCGTATGTATGTATGCATGCATGTATGCATGTATGCATGTATGACTGAATGCATGCATGCATGTATGTGTGTATGTATGTATGTATGTATGTATGTATGTATGCATGCATGTATGTATGTATGTATGTATGTATGTATGTATGTATGTATGTATGTATGTATGTATGTATGTATGTATGCATGTATGTATGTATGTATGTATGTATGTATGTATGCACGCGTGTATGGTTGTATGCATGTATTTATGTATGTGTGTATGCATGTATGTATGTATGTATGTACGGATGGATTGATGTATGGATGGTATGGATGTGTGTATGTATGTGTGGATTTATGTAGGTTTGCCTGTGTGTATACTTGCTTGTATGTATGCATGCATGCATGTATGTATGTATGTATGTACGTATGTTTGTAATGTACAAGGTCAAGCCAGGCTCTGAAACGCCTCGGGAACCCACCCAGCCAACCCCCAGGCACCCCCCCGCGGCCCAGGGGAAGGAAGGAGAGGACGAGGGGTAGGCGGAGACGCAGGCGAAGCTTGTACAAGTAGGGACATGCAACAGGCGAAGCATGGACAGATATGAGAAATGAAAGCAGCAACCTCTTTGCACCAGAACACGAATTGACCAAAGCCATCATGTCACGTTCGATCTAACAGTGCGCAACACAAAATCTCTAACTCCCCTTGATCGAGGGCTTCACACTGAAAAGAAACATTATCCCGCAACTCAAGGGAAAATCCTTCAATCTCCAAACTTCAAGCCGCCCAACCTCCGTCCCGCGACACGCTCGGCTTCGATGGCTTTGCCCACCTCAGAGCCACCACCCGCATGCATACTTCAACCATTCAAACTGGGCATAGGCACCTCTGCCGACCCGGAACCACCAGGGTGGGCGAGTGGTGAGAAGCTGGAGCACCTCGTGTGACCTCAGCGGCGCTATCATGAGCGACGCGTCCACTGAAGTCTCGATGGCATCCCTGACTCTGGCCGTGATGCGCTCGAGATCTCCACCCGGGTCGGCGCCCGTCAGGGTCCACAACGGATTAGCCCACTGCAGCTCAAAGCCCAGCCTCGCGAAATAGTAGCAGATGGCCAGGCTCTCCTCGGCCACCAGCATCATTCTCCCAATCCCAGATAAAGAAGCTCACGGAGAAATTGAATTGAGCATAGGTTTTGGCCGCCGACGGCGCTCTGGGAGACACGGCCTGGATGGAATTCCGCAGCTCCACGGACAAAACCTCTGGCACCACCCGCAAACCCCGCTCGAGCTCCTCCAACATGTTTGGGCGAGAGTGGGCCCCAATGTCCACGACGAAGCGTCCATTTGTCACGTTGAGGCGGCATCCCAGCAGATCGATGCCGGACCAGGCCTCGTCAACCAGAGATGCCGAATTCTTTGCAATCGACAGCCAGTCCACTGACGGCCAGCGCAAGGTTCGTGGCCACATCCTCGACCAAGGCTGCCGCTGCCTCGGCACTCCTGGACATGTTGGGAAAGACAACTGAAGGTATGGAGACAGATCATCCCGAGGATGGCGGCAGGAAAGAAGCACGGGCCGAACCAAGGCCTCAGTATCCTACTGCAGTTGGCAGCCATCTTCATGTAACTCACCCTCTGGACGCGCTGATGCTGCTGAGGCCTCTGCGGTTGCGCCACGAACTGCACCATGCGTTGCAGAGGAGTGCCCGCCTCGTCCAGGGGAACTGCCGAGAGCGTCGTAGGCGGTGGAGGAACACCAGGGGACATGCTCTTGGGCGGCGTGAGCACCAGCGAGACTGCCCCTTGCGACGCCACCCGCGACGTAGCCCTCGAAGCTGGCGCACTCACCGCCATCCAGCTGCCTGGCGTGACAGGTGTAGCTGGCAGCGGTGGCACCATCCCCACCTCCTCCGACACCGGGCCCTTGACCCACTATCCATTGACTCTGATCATGCCTTTTGGCGCCATGCCCGTGAGGACCCGCCGCCCCCCAAACGTGCGCTGGAAAGTATTGGCTCCAGCCCCTTTTGAGCCAGCACAGCTGCTGCACGTATCCTTTCGCGTTGAGTTGGGTGGGGATGTGGCTCGCTCCAATGATGTCCAGGTATATTCTTAGGCTGGAATCTGAGATCCACTTTCCTCGCTCACGAACTTCCTCAAATGAGAGGCCCTCTGCCCGAGAGTCGCCGGCCCATCCTGCCCGCGGGCTACGAGGACCCCGCCCCATGGAGAGTCCCGGGGCGCCCTCGACGTCTTTCAGGAGCCTGCGGTACTGGGCCAAGCTGTAAGGGAAGAGCGGGAGGGAAGAGCGGGCTGCCTGCTGGAGTGGCCCTCGCGATGTCCTCTAGCACCTCCATGATGTCCCGGTCCTCCTGGAAGATGCGGGCCACCCGGGGCCTCTCTCGCGGAAAAAACGATCTTCAGGTAATATTCCCAAGAGATTTGAGGGCCGTAGGCCCGCATGGTGCTGCGCGATGAGGGCGAGACCCAGTCGAGGATGTCCTCTGGAACCCAGGTGAACCCCCAGGAGCTTGCCAGGTAACTTCCCCAAGGGTACTGCTCGCTTCCTGCCTGCATTTCTCTCCCATCCTGCAATCACGGCCTTGTTCCACCACAACTAGCCCCTCATCCGAGGGAAGAGGAATTCAACTGACGCAACAACATTGAGAAACCTTGCTGGAGTGAGGTATTCGATCTGATCGCTTCTGAACTCAACCAAGAGATCGCCCCACTGGTCTGGGCCACTGGGGCGCAAGCCGCGCTGGAGCGCCCAGGCTGAAAACTGGAGTCCAGCACTCCGATACACTTCGAGAGTCTTCTCGGTCACTCTGGCAGCCTGATCGGGGTCGAGCCGACGCGGCTCCGCCCGTCCAGCGCTACGTGCTCCTGGACAGCGCATCTGCTGTCTGATGTGCGGTGCCCACCCAGGGTGAGTATAGCTTGATGCCTGTAGGGGAGGCTGACGAGCGCCCCTTCGCCGCTGCTGCTGCCAAATGTTCATTATCCTCCATGTTACATACGGCGTGATCGCGGGCTCTCGCAAGTCACGAGAGGCCCTTTCACAACTTCACCACGGCGCGGCCTTCACCCAAGATGATGTGATCCGGCTGGCGCCACCTTCCCGTGCAGAGGTCGCTCCTCATGCCCTGAGGGATCTGCAGCAACTCGCGCGGAATGCGGGACATTGGGATGCGCCCCCTCAGCTCCTTGTCCGAGCGGTTGAGTTGGCTCACTGTGCCGTCGAGCTTCGAGACCGCGCGCCCTGGCCTGGTGCCCGCGCCGATCACCCTCTCCGCCTCGTCCTCGGAGATAGACGCGCCCACGATGCCGTACCCCCCATGGTCCACCCTGTCGGCCCTTCCGCGTCGGGCGCGAAGAGGATTGGGGCGGCAAGGAGGTCCAGTACGCAAGTCATCATCGGGCTCAAGTCACGCATGATACGCACCTCGCGCCGTGCCGGAGCCCGCCACCTGACCACCCGACCCTGCTTCTTCTCCATCAGGTCGAACACTGCGGATGGCACCTACATGAGCTCACGGCGGAGCAGAGCACCCCACAGCCATGCGCCCACAAGGACCCTCAGGAGCTCCACATCCACCCAGGGCGTCTCAAGGATCCACGTGAGCGCCGACTCCAGGTAGCTGGCCTTGACGCTGGCCAGCCTTGAGCGAGGCGCGGAACTCTGCAGCTCGTACCCCGCGATCTTCGAACCCTCCGAGATAACCTCCCGCTCGGTCACCACGAACCCCGCCTCCCAGGCGTCAGCTATCTTCTCCATCATCGCTTCCGCTTCTCCTCTAGCTGAGCCTCCG